CCACAATCTACCCATATTCCTTGAGGAAAGGGGCTGGTAGAGCAAAGTGAAATATTGCAAGTTCCAGTAGGGTGGACTAGGTTAAAGGCAGGGTTCCAGCACTGAAGAGTAAGGCAGGGAAATGGACCCCCAAACCTCTTCTTATTAACTCATCCACTGAGGAGTGAAGATAGCAAAGGCTGACCCCCTGTGGCAACTAGGGGAACTATACCTCACCATATGATAATACTTGGGTACCAAATACATTTCCAAACCTGGCCAGCATGGATCTGGTACAGGTAGGGATCCATCAGGATAAGAAAACATAGTTTAGGTCAAAGTATTGTTAATATGAACCCCTTGATATGGTTTAAACTATGTACTCCTCTCAGAAGCCAAAGGAGATGATTCTAACCATGTGTCAAAATGCAGTCTTTCAGTTTTCAAATCGATGGTGAAGCTCTTCAGAGAAGTAAATTTAGTTTCCACATATATTTGCCAGAATTTATTTTTTTTATTCCCCTGAGAAAAAAATGAAAGGTGCAGTCTGGCTGGTTGGTTTGCTCATTTGCCTTCTAAAATTTTCCTCATGGCTCTGATCATTATATATAGAAATAATGATATAGAACTAGATCATAGCGATCAGAACCTTCCCGGTACAAGGTTATTATCAGAATAGTCCTCAGACAACTGTGGAAATGGCTTTCACTCTGTCAGATGCTTGTTCATGTGGGACTGTGGAAATATTTGGGGCAGCTCTCTGGAGGCTAAAAGGGTTAAATTTTCTAAAAATGCTTAACTTAAATCAGGTGGGTATTTAGGTGCCATAAAAATCCAACATAATTTTTAGAAAGATTGAAACTTAGAATATCATGCCTGAATTCTTATACCATGAGCATTTGTTCCGAAAGTACAATTGTTTTAAGAAGTACAAACTCAATTACAGAATAAGTAAGTCATGGAGATGCAATGCACAGCACAGGGAATATAGTCAATAGTATTGTTAATAACTGTGTATGGTGACAGATGGCAACTAGACTGAAAAAAAAAAGGGAAATTACCTTTAGGAGATGACGCTCTTGGGGGACGGTTTGTCATCTCTCATCATCTTTGTTATGAAGTAGATCAAGAACAAGGGAGTGTCATCCACATTGTAAACTTGGCAACACATATAAACCAATTTTCTAATCTTATTACTATACAGTACAAAAATGATCCACGTAGAAATAACCATTAGCTTTATTTACTCATGGACATTATAATCGAATGAGATGATAAACCCTACAGAGCAACAGATAATTCCATTTCTGATATCATAGTAACATTTTTCATGCAGATAACAGAAGTTTTTGTTTCACAGGGCAGCTGCTGCCAGTTAAATTGATTCAATTTAATTAACAAGCATTTACTCAGTGCCTACCTGTGGACAGCACTATACTTACGAGGCATACAAAAGAGTTAAAAGGTAGGATCCCTGCTCATAGGGAGCTTCCAATCCAGAGAGGAAAGATGATCCATGCATACAGGAAACAATAAAGAACTGTTAAAAATCACAGGAAAATCTGTATAAATAATAGACTCTGAATTAAAGACATTAGGGCCCAAGGAAACCTATCGGGAAGTTGGAGTCCAATCTGGAAAACTGGACCAAAGGAAGTACATCTTGAATTTGTATCATAGCAGTGATGAGCACATGGATTGGCAGAGGAACAGGGAGATAGTTTCATGGCCAGATCAAGAGTGAAGAAGGAAAAACTCAACATGGTAACAAAAACCAGCAAGTCAATTGCAGGGAATGGCAAGCAAACTGGCTTAGTTCTGGAAAAGGACGCTGTGGGTGAGCAGATGTAATTAAAATCACACAACAAGAGGGCATTGATTGCAGCTCTTCAAAGTCCATTCAAACTTCAAATAAGTAATAATGCTTAAACACATCTATAAACTAAAGCCCCCCCCCCCATAAAAGTGTATGTTTTCCCAACCTCAACAAAAAAGCAAAGATGAATTATGGAATATTAGAATCTAAACTCAGGGGATGTAATCACTGGAGGTCATGATCAGGCAGTGCTGGAGTTGCAATCATGTAAATTGTCTTTTTTTTTTTTTTTAAACTCACAAAATGGTGGGTTGTCTAAGACCCATGTACGTCCTAAGCTGAGAGACCTTCAACCCAGGGCTACTTAGCCCCTATTTCCCTTAGGATTTTTCTTTTAAAAAGCCCATTCTTTTTCATACTGAATCCAGCAGCAAATAAAAAGTCTTGAGTGTATAGTTGTGGGGGCCCTGGACGGGGAGACAGAAAAAAAAAATGGAAAACAAGATGTTGGTTTCAAACTGTGAGTTAATGAAAAATTACAATGAATACTTTATTAAGATATTTCTGAACTCTGAAGGAAAAAAATGGTGAAATATCTCTGATCCAAGGCAAAGAAAACTAAGGCAGAAGGAGTGTATAAAACGGAAGTCCATACGAGCAAAGTATTTTTAATTAACCCAAAAGGTAAGCCAGTAACCTGTATTGCTGAATCATATGCACTCTTAAACTCAGTTTGTTAGAAGAGATCCCAGGGAAACGAGTCAGGGGAGAAAGTGGCAGTGCAGGAGCAAATCCCTTAATTTGGAACAAGGTGGAGATCCTCCCAGCTGAACTAGGCCTGACGATGTCTTGATTGACCAGCATGACCTTGACAATCCATGAGAGTTAGAACAGGGGAACAGCAACTTCACAATGCTTGTGTTCTTGCCCTTTACGTGAGTCATTGCTTTTAAACAGCAAGGTGAGGAGTACTTCTGGGTCCCAGCGTGTCTATGAAAGTCACTGGCCATGAGCAGCCGCAGCTGTTCGAGAGAGGGAGAGAGAGAGAGAAAAGATGAAGAAGCAAGTGACAATTTAGCTTTCATTGTGCTTAATGTTCAGAAAGAGGTGATCTGAAACCTGTGTCTTCCAAACGTGCCCCATGTTGCCATAATATTTAGCATTTTTATATTCAAAATATTTCTATATTTCTTATTTTTCAGGAGAGGGAAAGTGAACGTTCTTCTCTTTTTATAATATTTATTCAGTATTGCTTATGTAATTAATATAAAAATGTATCCTGTTTAAAATTTTCCAATCAAAGAATTCCTTTGGCCAGTAGGAATTCAGTAAGTATTTACTGGATGACTGTTATGTATAAAGTTCTGTAGTAACAACTATGAATAAGATAGTATCTGCCTTTACAATGGTTGTATATGTTTTTAAGTACAAAGTATAGGAAAATATCAAATAAATAGCATGCAATAGGATTATATCATTACTTAAAACAATAAAGGTAACAGTAAGTTTTAACTAGAATTCAGATCTTAGAAGTCAGAACTTTTCGCTCACTATTCTAAACACTAATTCGATCATGTTAAGTTATAGTCATAATCTAGAGCAAATACAAGAGCAGTGTGGATATGTGTGACGTACCTGCTTCCAACTACAAGATGCCCAAGGGGCTCACTTTGGCTTTAAGGACACACATAAACTGAGAGTGCAGGGATGGAAAGAGATATTCCATGAAAATGGAAACCAGAAGCAGGTGTAGCTACATTTATTTCAGACAAAATACATGTTAAGCCAAAAACGGTAACAAGAGACACAGAAGGTCATTATGTAATGACTAAAGAAGACACAAATAAATGGAGAGATAGTTCATGTTAATGGGTTAGAAGAATTAATACTGTGAAAATGTCCATACCACCCAAAGCAGTCTACAGATTCAATGTAATCCTTATCAAAATTCCAATGGCATTTTCAAAGAAATAGAAAAAAACAATCCTTATATTCGATGGAACAACAAAAATATCCTAAATAGCCAAAGCAACCTTGAGGGAGAACAAAGCTGGAGACCTCACACATCCTGATCTCAAACTATACTGCAAAGCTATAGTAATTAAACAGTATGGTGTTGGCATCAACACAGACAGTAAGATCACTGGAACAGAATAGAGAAATGAGAAATAAACACATGCATATATGGCCAATTAGTTTTTGACAAGGTACTAAGGTTACACAATGAAGAACAGATATTCTCTTCAATAAAAAGTGCTGGGAAAACTGGATATCCTCATGCAAAAGAATGAAACTGAACCCTATCTTACAACATACACAAAAATCAACACAAAATGTAAGACCTTAAACCATAAAACCCCTAGAAGAAAATCTAGGGAAAAATCTACTTGTCCTTGGTCTTGGCAATGATTTTTGTATTTGACACCAAAAACAAAAGCAGCAAAAGCAAAAGTAAACATTAAGCTAAAAAGCTTCTGCACAGCAGAGGAAATCATCAATAAAATGAACAGGCAACCTCTGGGATGGGAGAATATATCTGTGATTTGATAAGGGGTTAATATCCAAAATAGACAAGGAAATGATACAACTCAACAACATACAAACCAAATAACCTAATTTGAAAATGAGCAAAGGACCCGAATAGACATTTATTCAAAGAAGACATACACATGGTCACTATTTGTACATGAAAAGGTGCTCAACATCACTATCAGGAAAATGCAAACCAAACCACAATGAGATAGCACCTCACACCATTAGGATGTCTATTATCACAAAGGCAAGAGACAACCAATGCTGACGAGGATGTGGAGAAAAGGGAACCATTATGCACTGTGGGTGGGAATGTAAACTGATACAGCCAATATGGAAAACAGCATGAAATTTCCTCGAGAAATTAAAAGTAGAACTATCATATGATCCAGCATCCTACTTCTGGATATATATCCAAGGGAAAGGAAATCATTAATTTGTATTCCCATCCTAATTGCAGCATGGGAGGATGGAAATAATGTAAGAGTCCATCTATGAAGAAATGGATAAAGAAAATGTGATATACGTATAATATCATCATAATAATATAATAATATTCAGCTTTATAAAAAAAAGAAAACCCAGCCATTTACAACAATGTGGCTAAACCTGCCTTCAAAGGCATTATTCGAAGTAAAATAAGCTAGACAGAGGAAGACAAACACTGCTGGTATCACTTATATGTGGAATCTGAAAAAAGAAAGAAAAAAAAAGTCAAACTCATGAAAACAAAGAGTAGCTTGGTGGTACCCAGGAGCTTGGGGGTGGGGGAAATAGGGAGAGGTTGGTAAAAGGGTACAAATTTTCAGCCATAGGATGAATAAGGTCCGAGACTGTAAGGTATAACACAGTGAACTACTGTTGACAATACTGTATTATATAATTGAAATTGGCTAAGAGAGTAGAACTTCAGTCCTTTCAACAAAAAGAAAAAGGTAAATATGTGAGCCAATGGATGTGTTAATGAATTCAGTGGTGGGAGTCCTTTCATAATGGATATGCATATCAGCACGCACATTGTACACTTAAAATGTATTACAATTTTACTTGTCAAAGCTGAAAAAATTTGAATGCCATTAAAGAAACAAGTAGTCTAGTGATGAAAAAAAAAATCTAAGTCAAGTGTAACCCAAGAACATAGCACTGGAAATTTGCTGCATCCATTCCTATTGGCATTAAGGTCAGCCAACATGGAAGGAGTAGTGTTGAAAGAACCACAGAGAAATGGGGCTCAGCCCTGCTCACTTCTAAACTTGGGATAAAACTTGGCCTGAAGCCATCCATATACCACTCTCCTATTCATCTGTGTGGGCTAATGAATTTATTTATTGTTTTTTTCTACTTAAACCAATTTGGGTTGAGTTTTATTACTTACAAGGAGGGGAGAGCCCTAGTAATACTAAGAGTTTTAAAGTTAAGAATGAGGGGAAAGTTTGAAAAAATTTTCCCTAAACTTCTTGGACATCACTTTTCCATGTGGAAAGCAGAGCACATCAGGGATTTTGGCAAATTGGGGTATGCCTTACTGGAATGTTTTTAAAATTAAGGTGGTTACAAAAAAAGAGAGATTAATGACTTAGAAAAGGCTCCAGGAGATCAACAGTGGTGAGTTCAGAAGAGCCTAATGGTATCTTCCCAGTGTGTCCATCTATATATAAAAATGGTCCCACTGAGCAGGAAAGACTCTGCATTTGTGTCTGCTATTTTTTTTTCAATAAAAGATTTTATTTATTTTTTTGAGAGAGAGAAAGAGAGCATGAGTGGGTGGGGGAGAGCAGAGGGAGAAGCAGACCTGAGCCTCGATCCCAGGACCCTGAGATCATGACCTAGACAGAAGGCAGACACTCAACTGACTGAGCCACCCAGGTGCCCCTTGTGTCAGCTATTTGTATATGACCATATGGATGTCTTCATCTTCTGTCAATTGCAAAGTCACCTTCCTATTACTACTGCCAAGTTTACATTTCTGGATTTTTCCTTCTCTTGCCTTTCCCCCACTGGAAACCAACCAAGCCTTCTGGATACAATGCCTGAGAGGGTCTCAAAAAGTGAACAGTAAAAATTGTGGAATGACTCACTCAGGGCAATAATGCCACACCACATCAAATGCCCCGTTTGGAGAGAGAGAAAAGAAAAAGAAGGAAGAGCATTTTTTTGTAGGGGAAAAAACTGTCATCATAAACATTTCTCCAACCTGCTCGGGCAGCCGCCATTTTCTTGTTGCGTATTTTGTTCTCCAAAGCTTGCTACATAATACAAAAAGGAGAAAAGAACATGAGGTTTACTGGTATTTACTATTACTTGCCATTAATAAAGGTAATATGTTAATGAAATAAATTATATCCTACCTGTTTCATCTTCTTTTTTAGATCCAGATTTGCTGTCTTCTGGCCCTTTGCAGTAGCATTGAGATAATAAATGGTCAAGCTACATTTTAAAAAATAATAAGATTATTAGTGTTTTTTAAGTTCAAGATTCTTCTTAAATTTACATTCACTAAATCATAGAACGTTGGCACTGGAGTGGACTTTAAGATATTTTCTCCTTTTTTTTTTTAGGATTGAAGTACACAGAGGTCAAGAAGTACATTCAGGAAAGGTTACTAGGGGCGGACCTGGGAAGATGGGATCCAAGGGGGCCCTCTTCCACAGCCCAGCATTCTATCTACCATACCTCAACTGCCTAACTGTAGCTCCTTCTTGGAAATGTACTAACATCAGTTGAAATCGTAATTAAAAGTAACATTTCAAATTGACATTAATCTGCTGAAGCATAGGGAATGTGTAGAATAAAAAATTGACCTGCTTTAAATTTCCTCCTTTGACTTTTACAGCAAAGAATATAATTCTCATAGTCATAGTTCACTAACATGGATTTTTTTCCATAGGATGTATTTCTCCCTTCCTCAAAAAGAAAATGTTTTATAAAGGAATATTCTTGGCTTTTAGTTGACATTTACATTTCTAGAAAGAGGGAATTCCAGCCAAACATTTGTGTAAAAATAAATATGTTCATCTTCACTTAAAGCAAAAACAAACAAACAAAATGCAGTAAAAAAAAAAAAAAAAAAAAAAAGAAAGGTAACTGGCATTGCTCTTTGTTGCAAATAACTGGATACTAAACACATTTCTTCTACTCCCCAACCATGCCAGATTATATCCTTTATGAGCCATCTGGTGCTAGCAACATAATTATTGATATGGTTTAGCCGGGTTTGTTTATCTCTTATACGAGTGATGGGAGTCTGAAATTACATACATGAAAGCATTTGGTATGCTATTTGGCATGAAGTAGGTGCTCAATAAATTGTGTATGTGTGTGTGTGTATTATAAGCATATTCTTAGAAAAGTGCCTGGATTTGGAGGATAAACTCAAAGACCTCACAAGTCACTCGCAGTTCTGGAATTCTCTAGTCTCCAAAGGAATGAATCTGGCTACAGAGAACTAACCTGAATTCTACTCAGTTACCCAAAAACGATCCAAGCTGATTTAATAGGATCCATTGGGGAAATTCAAAAGGCTTATAACATGTAACATTCTCTAATTAAAGGTAATAAAGAGCCAGGCCAATTGCACGAGCCTCATAAACTGGAAGATGAGGTCTCAGGATTTGAAAAATCAAATCAGTAATAAACTGAAATTGGGTTTTAAATCAGAACCTCAGAACTATAATCAGCCTTGCAGGACATCTATTTGACCTCATATTCTGTCAGCTTTTCTTTTCTTTTTCTTTTTTTTTTTTTTAAGATTTTTATTTATTTTTTGACAGAGAGAGAGACAGTAGAGAGGGAACACAAGCAGAGGCAGAGGAAGAGGGAGAAACAGGCTTCCTACTGAGCAGGGAGCCTGATGTGGGGCTCGATCCCAGGACCGCAGGACCACGACCTGAGCCGAAGGCAGACGCTAAACAAGTGAGCCACCCAGGCGCCCCTGTCAGCTTTTCTCTACACAGTCTGTACCAAAGGCTGGCAAACTATAGTCTCCAGGGTAGAAATGACTCCCAGCTTGTTTTGCATAGCCCATGAACTAAGAATGGTTTTTACCTTTTTAAATGGTCATGTAAGTACTTATATGATATTCTCAATTTTACCTTTTGACCCACACAACCTAATATATCTACGATTTGGCCCTTTAAGAAAAAATGTGCCAACCATGGGTATAAACCACCCCTGCCAAGTGGCTTCTAGCCCTTCTGTATCTTCCCACTCATCCCAAACTCAGTGTTTGGTGCTTCAAAGGATTAGGGGGAATAAGAGACAGGAAATAAGACATGGGGTTTGAATTTACTTATTAGCCACTTGATTTGGCACAGATCTTCCATGCAATATCAATAATGTGATTAATGAGGCCAACCTTTTCAGGTTATTGTGGAAATTAAATGATTAATGTATGGGTGGTGCCTGGGACACAGGCAATGTTAGCTCTCCAGACAGCTTATTAAATCTTTAATTGGTGGCATTAGAACAATGTTGTGCCTTTGCTTAAAAATAAAATAAAATAAATTAAATTAATTTAAAAAATCTGTCTCTCAGTAAGTTAAGACTATGGTCATAAAATCTAACATTAAGTTTTGTTGGGTTTTATTTTTTTAATATAAGATCTAATTGGTACTGGAGGAGCAAGATGGCGGAGGAGTAGGAGACCTAAATTTCGTTTGGTCCCAGGAACTCAGCTAGATAGGGATCAAACCATTCTGAACACCTACAAACTCAACAGGAGATCGAAGAAAAGAATAGCAGCAACTCTCTGAACAGAAAAGCGACCACTTTCTGGAAGGCCTCTTCTGATTTGTTTAGTGTATATTTTTCTGGGGTCATTGTTACCCTGTTAGTATTTTGTTCTCTCATTCATCTATTCTCCTCTGGACAAAATGACAAGATGGAAATAATCACCTCAAAAAAAAGAACAAGAGGCAGTACCGACTGCCAGGGACCTAATCAGTTAGGACATCAGTAAGATGTTGGAACTAGAGTTCAGAATGACGATTATAAAGATACTAGCTGGGCTTGAAAAAAGCATGGAAGATATTAGAGAAACCCTTTCTGGAGAAATAAAAGAACTAAAATCTAACCAAGTTGAAATCAAAAAGGCTATTAATGAGGTGCAATAAAAAATGGAGGCTCTAATTGCTAAGATAAATGAGGCAGAAGAGAGAATTAGTGATATAGAAGACCAAATGATGGAAAATAAAGAAGTTGAGAAAAAGAGAGATAAACAACTGCTGGATCATGAGGGCAGAATTTGAGAGATAAGTGATACCATAAGATGAAACAATATTAGAATAATTGGGATCCCAGAAGAAGAAGAAAGAGAGAGAGGCAGAAGATATATTGGAGCAAACTATAGCAGAGAACTTCCTTAATTTGGGGAAGGAAACAAGCATCAAAATCCAGGAGGCACAGAGAACCCCTCTCAAAATCAATAAAAATAGGTCAACACCCTGACATCTAATAGTAAAACTTACAAGTCTCAGAGACAAAGAGAAAATCCTGAAAGCAGCTCGGGACAAGAGATCTGTAACCTACAATGGTAGAAACATTAGATTGGCAAAAGACCTATCCACAGAGACCTGGCAGGCCAGAAAGGACTGGCATGATATATTCAGAGCCCTAAATGAGAAAAATATGCAGCCAAGAATACTATATCCAGCTAGGATGTCACTGAAAATAGAAGGAGAGATAAAAAGCTTCCAGGACAAACAAAAACTAAAGGAATTTGCAAACATGAAACCAGTCCTACAAGAAATATTGAAAGGGATCCTCTAAGCAAAGAGAGAGCCTAAAAGTAACATAGACCAGAAAGGAACACAGACAATATACAGTAACAGTCACCTTACAGGCAATACAATGGCACTAAATTTCTATCTTTCAATAGTTACCCTGAATGTAAATGGGATAATTGCCCCAATCAAAAGACACAGGGTATCAGATTGGATAAAAAAACAAGACCCATCAACATGCTGTCTGCAAGACACCCATTTTAGACCTAAAGACACCTCCAGATTTAAAGTGAGGGGGTGGAAAACCATTTATCATGCTAATGGACACCAAAAGAAAGCTGGAGTGGCAATCCTTATATCAGACAAAATAGATTTTAAACCAAAGACTATAATAAGAGATGAGGAAGGACAGTATATCATACTTAAAGGGTCTATCCGACAAGAAGATCTAACAATTATAAATATCTATGCCCCTAACATGGGAGCAGCCAATTATATAAGCCAATTAATAACAAAAGCAAAGAAACACATCGACAACAATACAATCATAGTGGGGGACTTTAACAGCCCCCTCACTGAAATGGACAGATCATCTAAGCAAAAGATCAACTTTAAATGACACACTGGACCAAATGGACTTCACAGATATTAACAGAACATTCCACCCCAAAGCAACAGAATACACATTCTTCTCTAGTGCCCATGGAACATTCTCCAGAATAGATCACATCCTAGGTTACAAATCAGGTCTCAACCGGTACCAAAAGATTGGGATCATTCCCTACATATTTTTGGACCATGGTGCTTTGAAACTAGAACTCGATCACAAGAGGAAAGTTGGAAAGAACTCAAATACATGGAGGCTAAAGAGCATCCTACTAAAGAATGAACGGGTCAACCAGGAAATTAAAGAAGAATTTAAAAAATTCATGGAAACCAATGAAAATGAAAACACAACTGTTCAAAATCTTTGGGATGCAGCAAAGGCAGTCCTAAGAGGAAAGTATATAGCAATAGGTCTTTCTCAAGAAACAAGAAAGGTCTCAAATACACAACCTAACCCTACACCTAAAGGAGCTGGAGAAAGAACAGCAAATAAAGCCTAAACCCAGCAGGAGAAGACAAATAATAAAGATCAGAGCAGAAATCAATGAAATAGAAACCAAAAGAACAGTAGAACAGATCAACAAAACTAAGATCTGGTTCTTTGAAAGAATTAATAAGATTGATAAACCCCTGGCCAGACTTACCAAAAAGGAAAGAGAAATGACCCAAATAAATAAAATCATGAATGAAAGAGGAGAGATCACAACCAACACCAAAGAAATACAAACAATTATAAGAACATATTATGAGCAACTATATGCCAGCAAATTAGATAATCTGGAAGAAATGGATGCATTCCTAGAGATGTATAAACTACCAAAACTGAACCAGGAAGAAACAGAAAACCTGAACAGACTTATAACCACTAAGGAAATTGAAGCTCTAGGGTGCCTGGGTGGCTCAGATGGTTAAGCGTCTGCCTTTGGCTCAGGTCATGATCCCAGGGTCCTGGGATGGAGTCCGCATCGGGCTCCCTGCACTGCGGGGAAGCCTGCTTCTCCCTCTCCCACTCCCCCTGCTTGTGTTCCCTCTCTTACTAGGTCTCTCTCTGTCAAATAAATAAATAAAATCTTCAAAAAAAAAAAAAGAAATTGAAGCTCTAATCAAAAATCTCCCAACAAACAAGAGCCCATGGCCATATGGCTTCCCAGGAGAATTCTACCAAACATTTAAAGAAGAATTAATACCTATTCTGAAACTGTTCCAAAAAATAGAAATGGAAGGAAAACTTCCAAACTCATTTTATGAGGCCACCATTACCTTGATTCCAAAACCAAAGACCCCATCAAAAAGGAGAATTACAGACCAATATCTCTGATGAACATGGATGCAAAAATTCTCACCAAAATACTAGCCAATAGGATCCAACAGTACATTACATTTCATTAAACGGATTATTCACCACGACTAAGTGGGATTTATCCCTGGGCTGCAAGGTTGGTTCAACATCTGCCAATCAATCAATGTGATACAATACATTAATATAAGAAAGAACAAGAACCATATGATCCTCTCAATAGATGCAGAAAAAGCATTTGACAAAGTACAGCATCCTTTCTTGATCAAAACTCTTCGGAGTATAGGGATAGAGGGTACATACCTCAAGATCATAAAAGCCATCTGTGGAAAACACACAGTGAATATCATTCTCAATGGGGAAAAACTGAGAGCTTCTCCCTAAGGTCAGGAACACGGCAGGGATGTCCACTATCACCAGTGCTATTCAACATAGATTAGAAGTCCTAGCCACAGCAATCAGACAACAAAAAGAAATCAAAGGCATCCAAATCGGCAAAGAAGAAGTCAAACTCTCACTCTTTGCAGATGATATGATACTTTATGTGGAAAACCCAAAAGACTCCACCCCAAAACTGCTAGAACTCCTACAGGAATTCAGTAAAGTGGCACAATATAAAATCAATGCACAGAAATCAGTGGCATTCCTACACACCAACAAGACAGAAGAAAGAGAAATGAAGGAGTCGATCCCATTTACAATTGCACCCAAAACTATAAGATACCTAGGAATAAATCTAACCAAAGAGGCAAAGAATCTGTACTCAGAAAACTATAAAATACTCATGAAAGAAATTGAGGAAGACACAAAGAAATGGAAAAATGTTCCATGCTCATGGATTGGAAAAACAAATATTGTGAAGATGTCAATGCTACCTAGAGCAATCTACACATTTAATGCAATCCCCATCAAAATACCATCCACTTTTTTCAAAGAAATGGAACAAATAATCCTAACATTTGTATGGGACCAGAAAAGACCCCAAATAGCCAGAGGAATGTTGAAGAAGAAAAGCAAAGCTGGTGGCATCACAATTCTGGACTTCAAGCTCTATGACAAAGCTGTCATCATCAAGACAGCATGGTACTGGCACAAAAACAGACACATAGATCAATGGAACAGAATAGAGAGCCCAGAAATGGACCCTCAACTCTATGGTCAACTAATCTTCGACAAAGCAGGAAGGAATGTCCAATGGAAAAAAGTCTCTTCAACAAATGATGTTGGGAAAATTGGACAGCCACATGCAGAAGAATGAAACTGGACCATTTCCTTACACCACACACAAAAATAGACTCCAAATGGTTGAAAGACCTCAATGTGAGACAGGAGTCCATCAAAATCCTAAAGGAGAACACAGGCAGCAACCTCTTCGACCTCAGCCGCAGTAACTTCTTAGAAACATCACCAAAGGCAAGGGAAGAAAGGGCAAAAATGAACTATTGGGACTTCATCAAGATAAAAAGCTTTTGCACAGCAAAAGAAACACTCAACAAGACCAAAAGACAACCGACAGAATGGGAGAAGATATTTGCAAATGACATATCAGATTAAAGGGCTAGTATCCAAAATCTATAAGGAACTTATCAAACTCAACACCCAAAGAATAAATAATCTAATCAAGAAATGGGCAGAAGACATGAACAGACATTTTTCCAAAGAAGACATCCAAATGGCCAACAGACACATGAAAAAGTGCTCAACATCGCTCGGCATCAGGGAAATCCAAATCAAAACCTCAATGAGATACCATCTCACACCAGTAAGAATGGCTAAAATTAATAAGTCAGGAAATGACAGATGTTGGTGGGGATGTGGAGAAAGGGGAACCTTCCTACACTGTTGGTAGGAATGCAAGCTGGTGCAGCCACTCTGGAAAACAGTATGGAGGTTCCTCAAAAAGTTGAAAATAGAGCTACCTTATGATCCAGCAATTGCACTACTGGGTATTTACCCCAAAGATACAAATGTAGGGATCCAAAGGGGTACATGCACCCCAATGTTTATAGCAGCAATGTCCACAATAGCCAAACTGTGGAAAGAGCCAAGATGTCCATCGACAGATGAATGGATAAAGAAGAGGTGGTATATATATACAATGGAATATTATGCGGCCATCAAAAGGAATGAAATACTGCCATTTGCAATGACATGGATGGAACTGGAGGGTATTATGCTGAGCGAAATAAGTCAATCAGAGAAAGACATGTATCATATGATCTCACTGATACGAGGAATTCTTAATCGCAGGAAACAAACTGAGTGTTTCTGGAGTGGTGGGGGGTGGGAGGATGGGGTGGCTGGGTGATAGACATTGGGGAGGGTATGTGCTATGGTGAGCATGTGAATTGTGTAAGTCTGTTGAATCACAGACCTGTACCTCTGAAACAAATACAGTTTCAGAAGATAGTAAGAAGGGAAAAATGAAGGGGGGGAAATCGGAAGGGGAGACAAACCATGAGAGACTATGGACTCTGAGAAAAAAACTGAGGGTTCTAGAGGGGAGGGGGTTGGGGGGATGGGTTAGCCCAGTGATGGGTATTAAGGAGGGCATGTACTGAATGGAGCACTGGGTGTTATACACAAACAATGAATCATGGAACACTACATCAAAAACTAATGATGTAATGTATGGTGATTAACATAACATAATAAAATTAAAAAAAAAAAGATCTCAATGGTACCACTAAATGGCCTTGACTTTTAAAAACCGTATAATACTTAACATGGTCCCAGAAGCCACCGTATCATCAAAACTTGAAAAAGAAAAATCACTTCAAGGGCCATCTGGTGAAATAGGCTGCATCCAGCAGGTCATTTTCCAACACGTGTGTGCCAGAGACTCGCTATCAGATTATCAGATTGGGGGAATGTCACCCTCCGATCAAGGTTCTCTAATATATAAAAGTAATCTGCTTCACTGTTTAATTATGCCTGTGGGCTTATTAGCTCGCCCTCAAAGAAGGTGTCACGTGTAAAGAGGTTGGCTTTATTGTCAACCTACTATTACTATTTTGTTATACTATACTCTTTCTAACCTAGGGAAAATCACTTTGTCCCTCTAAACCGGTAATTTAAGAAAGTTGAAGATGGCACCGATGGTCTCTGATGTGGCCCATGACCATGACCATTACAAAGACAATGCTAACAACTTGGCCCAGAACCCAGTTCATGTACTTCAAATCATTGGGATTTCTTTCAGGAGATTTCCTAGTTTTGCCTTTTATAAAACAAATGCCACCCTTTGCATCAGCTTTGTTTCTAAAGTGTTTCTGAGGGTGGTTTCATAGTTACCCTCCTGGACTGAGAGACAGCAGTGGCGGTTCCAGACTTTCTATTTTGGAGGGCCTCAGGGGTTGAAAGGAAGGTCTAGGGCTTTTTTTTTTTTTTAAGCTCTTTGATAACAAGCATATATTTTTCCTCAGAATGTAACTTTATCTCTTCAAAAGTCAGAAGCCAGTGAAAGTGACATGGGAACAAAAGTCCCCTCCCAAGGTCCCCTTTGGATCTTACCTCTAACATTTGAAGGGCTAGACTAAGTGACCTTTCCAAGACCCTTCTGGTCCTCTGATTCTATTACCATGGACACACACTTATTGGTAGCCTTTCAAGAACAAGGACATGGTAATTTTTAAGACCCCTTAAACACTTAGCCCTAAAATATAGCTGATAGGGCCCCCAGAGGGAATATTAACTTAGAGGCTCATCATTTCTATGTGTTCCCAGCCATCTGCTTTATGGAACAAGAGGTGGGGGCCAGGACACGGCGGGAAGCTCAATGTGCTGATTAGATTTAGCATTTAGCGTTTATGTTTCCCTGCTTTAGCTGTTTACTGATAATTATTTTGGTTACTTGGGAACAAATCTTATAATCCTAGGCAGGCAAAGACAGATGCAGATGGCTATGAATTACATCCAACAGGATCAGAATATGGCTCATGAATTTCAGCCTCTTACCACCATGTAATCAGCCCTGAATTTGGTGAGGTTACAGCACAACCCTTAGAGAGCGTGAGAAAGGAAAAAAAAAAAAAAAAGCTGGAACTTAAAAGGAGCCAGGCTTTCTTCATTACAAAGGCCCTTTCTATGAGCGGGGAAGCACATACACCATAACCAAAATGATAGCGATGACCAGTCCAGGATTAGAAAGCTGTCTCAAGATCTTTGCCATCCAGCTTGGGAAATCCTGCTCCAGGGTTTCTCCAATGACTTCGAACATCCTATTTTTACCACTGAAAAAAAAAGGGGGGGGGGGAGAGAAATTTATTTACAACCTATGCAAAAACCATGAATATAGCAAGAAAACTAGAAATCTTTCTCGAACACCACCTAAGTGCTCTTTCAGGTTGGAAACCTAAGGTTTAGCCACAACTCCTGGCGCTTTGACCTCTTATTGTCAACGTGGGGGTGAGGCATGAGAAATGGTATCCCAACATGAACACACAGTTGAGCAGTTAGGAATTTAACCACAGCCTTAGGAAAAGACTTTTTAAAGCTGTATTTCTAAGATTTTGATTGAAATATATTTTATAAATAGCTCGTAAGTCTACCCCTCAGCCAGCTGTCCTTGTTGGACAGCTGTTCACTCCCTTTGGGCTGAATAAATAGTGCTCTCAATTGTTTAACTGGCCTTGGAAATGAGCATAAGGAGTAGCTTAACGGAATAAGGTCCACAAATAATCCAGTATCTCTCCCATGCAACAGCTGCTATCTCATTTTCTACAGACTTCTTTCATCAGAGTTATTAATAAGTAACCACACCGAATGAGGAGTCCTTTCTGCATTTCTTGTTGACAGGCCCTAAATGACTGCTGGCTCAGTCCCACTGCTAGGAAAAGAAAATGCGTAAAGAAGGAAAATAAGCCTAAAAAGCAAAAGTCCTTAATGGGTTCGTTCTCAGCCCGTTAAGGTAAGAATCAGCTTTTATAAGCTAGAAAAATGAGAGCAGGAAGTCTGTCTTATCTTCATACATAATATTCAGAATTATAAAGTAATACCCATCATGTCAAGCTATTTTTTTCTGTATATGCATATTGATTCTACTATGAAAAGCGGTAATTCTCAGAAAAGAAGATTAGGTTACTTATCACCAAGTGGTATGTATCATCAGAATAAAGGTTGGTATAACACTTACTATAATAGTCTGGTTTCACTTTTGTTTTTTGATCTTCATACATTCTCACCTACTAAATAAACATGAGCCTCAAGTTCCAGATGAGATTTTTTTTTTTTTTTTTTTGCTCCTGATCTTACTAATAATATCTTTCAAAAGACTGAGAGTAACCCCAAGTACCTAGTTAAGAGTTAGTTGCTGGACTGCCGAGGTATAAGTTTTGCTTCACAAATTACAAATCTGCACCCAGCAAAACCTGTGCTGTATTAAGGGGGAATGTAGCTTGCAGACCATTCAAGATTATATCAATTTATTCCCCTAAGATTTCTTTGCCTTCATCCATTCTAACTGGGCATGCTTTTCTCCTAGACATGGGGGATACAGCTAGAGTGAGAAGGTAGGCAAGGATGAGAGAAGGTAAGACCATCCACTCTCCCTTCTCCAGGTTGGGCTGAGGCTGATGCCTGTGGTTAGAATGAGGGGACTGGAATTTTACAAAATGCTCTCTACCCACAAAGGTCTTCTCTGCATCCAGTCTGTCCCAAATTCAAAGCCATTAGCATCTCTGGTGATTCTCCCCTTTCCTGGTCTGGTGTCTTACCAGGAGTCCAGCTCTCTTACTTCTATACAAACTAAAGAAGCATCTGACAAATAGTGATATATATGCAGTAATTCTGCCTAAGTTTGCCAATTAGGAAACACTTGGTCAAAATCAGTATGTCTCAGATAGAGACTAATTTTTTTTCATTAAATTCTTAGTAACTGTGTGTGATATAAAGAGAGGCAAAGGACTTAGGTTCAAAAGGCTAAAATTGCATGGTCATGGTACATGTCTAGCTCAATGATATTTTTCATAGGAATGCACTTGTATAACCACCATCCAGCTCCATGTGCACACGGTGGGGATTCCCTTCCTTTGATACATTTTTCCCGGAAAGATCAACTTGCAACTAGAAAGTTAAAAGTGCATCTAAAACTCAACCTGGATATTCACTTGTGTGGGTAATTTGCAATCAACTAAAAGTCTTTGAATGGCTTATCTGGTGAACTTCGTGCCCTGAGATTCATTAGAGATTTACTAAGACCAAGCTCTTCTTCAAGACTGCAATTTCCTATTTAGTCTCCAGATGTCACTGTCTGCATTATTTATTTTAGACCACATTTTGGGGGGGGGGCGGTGAGAGATCAGGATTTGTCAACATCAGCTTCCTGAATACGACAAAACTCCAGTAGTTTCTGCCCTATCGGCTGGCTTAACATTTTCTTTCTTTCTTTTTTTCCCAGTAAAGCAATAATAACTCAGACTATTATTAGAGTACAAATGCATCTTTTATACTTGTCTGTGAGCAATGAAACTTGACTTTAATAACTTGCATCTGACAGCATGACGAGGAAATTATACGTGGCCATTATCGGCTCATGCTTGTATTCACGTGGCTTTTCATGTTCACATTTCTTTCACTTGGAAAGGAGAAATAAGTCAAATGCATGCTGACCAATGACTCAACAGGCAGGGATTCTTGGGGGGGCACTTGTGGTAGATTCTTTTTTCTTTTTCTTTTTCTTTCTCTCCTTCTTCTTCTTTTTTTTTTTTTTTTTTTTTTTTTAGAGAGAGGAGGGCAGAGGGAGAGGGAGAGAAAGAATCTAAAGCAGGCTCCACACCCAGAGCGGAGCCTGAAGCACGCAGGGCTCTATTTCATGACCCTGAGGTCACGACCTGAGCCAAATTCAAGAGTCAGACACTTAACCAACTGAGCCACCCAGGTGCCCCATGGTAGATTCATTTCTAAGGCCCTATTTAGGGAATGAAATCTCAATTCCCCAGATCCCGGGGACTTTGCTTTCTTGCTAAGTGTCACAGACAGAACTTGGTCATAGACAACTGGAGAAAAGTACATTTCAGCTTGGATCAGAGAGACTTCTTAACTCTTTATTACTGACTGGAGCGAAATTATCCTTGTTATTTTGGGAGACTACACATGCTGAACATCATCCTCAGTTGTTTTACTAGCATGTAGCATTGTGGATTATAAAATGTGTGACCCACTTTATATTCATAATTATCTAATAATGATCCCATTTCTACATAGGTTGTGGAATAATCTACTTTTAATTAATTATTTTCTATTGGGCAAAACATGGCAATAGCTTCTGATTTTTGGACGTGGGGCCTAGCATCAGGAAAACTTTCACATCCCCATTAGCATAATCAAACCTTGCTCTTTGCTACCTCTTATGGCTCAAATTTATGGTCCATATTTTACCCAGGTAGAGCCCAGGTGCACTCAAATCATTTTCCCTTTTATGATTCCCAAATAAGAAAATCGATGGAACTTCCCTAAGAATCTCCATGTTACCTAATGAGACTGAATGCCCAAAGAACCACATTTCTACAGACCAAAATGCCATTGTTTGGGAGGGGGACCCACAAAACTCATAGGAGTGACTATTCCTATCTCCACGCCTGGAAGAAAATGACACCCAGGTGGAATTTCAAAGGCCAGAACCTGAACGGGCCACAATCAAAAGATGGCGGGAGCGATACAATCATGTATAGGACGGGCATGGTGGACAGGAAGAGGATGAGCAGTAGCATGCCCAGGTAGAAGTTATTTGATCTGGAAGCTTTGAACACCCTGGCCTCAGGAACGTTGCAACACATCACGGCCCAGCACTGGAAGTACATGGAGGTGTGGAGTCGAAGGATATTGATTCCTGGGAGGCTGGGGGCGAAGAAGGAGCCCATCCTGGAAGGAAAAACAGGGCTCTGCTCAATTCCAGTCTTCTCTTCATAACAAAGTCATACAGCACCTGTTGATTTCACATCATGCTTATTTGCTAAAGGCAGAAAATGTAGGGCCACTTTCAGTCCACAAACGCTTTTTTATAAATAAACCTGACTGGCCAATTTCCATCTTCTGTGCACATTTTATCACCTCCCCCATTATCCAGGAATTGCCTACGTGATTCGCTCATAGCAATTACGCTGTTCACTAACTATATCTGCTCTCATTAATAAATTTAAACTACACCAGAGAAAACAATGTATCACATGTATTAACTTCTCTCTTCTACTTCTCAGATAAACTTGATTCCCCTAATACTCAAATCATTCATTAATAAATCCGGATATTTAACTTCTCTTTAATAAGTGCCCCTGAAAGCACTCATTCTATTCAAATAAACTGCACATCTGGATTAATTACTTTTCTCGTGGCTAATTAATTTTTGCTTAATGGAAGAGAAAAAATTAAAATAAGCTTATCTTTTTCTGATGCTATTCTTTATTAGCTATGTAGCTATTATGGTGTTTTAGAGCTGATGTATTTATGCCCAATAATAGTGTTTTCTTAATAGTCTATAGGAAGCTTTATGTGTTTGAGATGAAAATTCAACACATACATTTAATTTAATTTAATTTAATCTGTTTACTTGCTTACTTCAGCTTGTCCTGGAAATTCACTGCTTTGTACATCTGATTTTTAAAAACTATCTTTAAATGCCACTTTTAAACAGGAAGCACTTAGGTGAGGTCACTTTTACTTGCTGGCTTAGTTGATAATTTCAACAAAATAAATTTCAATTTTCTTTGATGAGAAAATCCATTAGCATCATAAAACCATATTAATAGCAATGTATTGGTCCAAAACCAAAAAGAGGATACATGTGCACTTATTTTAGAAGTCTAAGCACAGTCCTATCTTTTAAACTGTCCCAGCTGTAATAAAGCCCTCAGCACTTCTGGTTAGGGTCAGCATTTTATAGTACCTAGGTATGTAGAGTAGCTATTTTAACTAATCCAACGCAAATTTGGTATAATACGGGGTGGTGGGGGTGGGCAAGGGGTGAGTTAGATGAAGAAATTAGCTTCTGCTATTTCCGTAATGGAAATTATGCAAACCAGCATTAAAGGATTTCATTTAAAAGTGGAATCTTGCCAAAATTTAGATCATCTTGTTGGTAGGATTTCACGCAACGGATCTGAATGATATTTTAACATACTGAATGGACCAGAGACTCTGAAGGAAGCTAAATGATTTTTTTTTTAATGGCATGAACTTCAGGTGATGATCTAGCCACATAGGTTCATCAACTGTAACACACGTCCCACTGTGATTTGGGAAGCCGATTGTAGGGGAGGCTATGCATGTTGGGGCATGGGGATATTTGGGAATGCTCTGTACTCTCCACTCAGTTTTTCTGTGAACACAACACTGCTCTAAAATAGAAATTTTATGAACTAAAAAAAAAGTAAGATGATAGACTTTGGAACACCACATGGTATCTTTGTTACAGGATAGCAAGAGAGATCCCAGAGCCTCAAGAACGTGAGCAAGTGAGTGAGTGACAGGCCCAGGTTAGGGGCCAGAATTACATAGCGCTATAGTACATTCTTAAATGCCAATATTAGTAATGTGAGATGTTTGTGAATCGTTATATTTGCTCCCTTCTAAAGGTCAGGCTTGGCCATGTGATTTGTTTTGGCCAATGAAATGGTCATTAAAATGAGGTGTCTCACTACTGGATGGAGACGTTAAAAGCCCTGTGTGGATTCTATTCTCATCTCTCTGCTACCTTGACCGGTGATGTTCCAGATGGACCCTATTTTGCCAGTCTAGGAATCCACGGTGAGAGTAACATGCAAGAGCAGAGCTCTCTACCAACCCACACTGGGCATGTAGAGAAAACAAGAAGTAAACGTTTCCCTTTGGAAGCCACTAAGACTTGGGGGTTCTGGTGAACTGCTGCACAAGCTAGTTTCTCCTCAGACACAATTCTGTACATCATGTGAGACCTAGTCTTGCCTAAAGCCACATATATTTGTACCTCTATGTATCCCTACATCATTCATCTGTATACATGTATGTGTATACACGTATGTATTGTCTCTATAAATAAATTTCAGATTTTCAAAATAAATATTGAACAAATGGCTCAAGAAACCATTACCTAGAAAAACAGATCCTGGCACACTGATATCTGCACCTTAATGCTCATCCTGTCTTTGCTCGTGACTCACTAATCAGCTCGGCTCACTAAGTCCCTTCCCCAAACTTGAGCCCATCATCTGTCAGTTAAAGATCATTGTAATACCTTTGCCTTATAAAGTGCTTTTCTTCCAAGAAGATCAAAGCAAACGAAAGCTTCTTTTATTGAGCTCTCCTTATTACTCCAGTGACATGGTACATGTCGGGTAAATTATTCACATTTGATCAACCAAGAAAATGAGGTAGCAGACGGTGACAACACTAATGAAAGGGTATACAAAGAGGCAGTGTTGGAGCAATGTCCAAACCCATCTTCTCTCTCACCGTGTTCTCTGCTGCCTCTATACCCTGCTACGAGAGAGATGGGATGGGCCTTGATCATTTTAAAATACAATTGAAAAACCTATGCCGTCCATTTTTCAATTAAGTGTGTCATATAAAGGTTTACTGGTCATTTCACCCACTTCATGACAAAATGGATTTTACCTATAAAGTTTCACTTTAACAGCATCAGTGTAAATAACCTCCATTAATTAGAAACCCCTAAAGCAATAACTGAATGTCTCTAGCCACAAACCAATGGAATTGAGTGCAAACTTCCCATACTCTTGTGTTTCTGTATGGCCCAACTCAAGCATCGATTCCTCGTGCCTCGTAAAATAGTAGCTTACCAGGTATGAGTACCCTGTGGCAGGGGAGCCTGCTGCACTTAGAATACACACTCCCCACACCTCGCCCACCACACCGCATCCCCATTCTTCACTAGCTTCCTGGGAGTTTGGAAAAGACCATCTGTACCAAGGTGGACCCGAAGGTCAAAATAATAGTTCTTTTGCCTCTGAAACTCCCTGGTAAGTGTATGATTATCTCTGTACACTCAAAAAAACACCTTCACTTTCTAATATCTTCTTCAGACTAACAAGAAGCAAGACTTGACCAATATCTACAGGATGAACACCTAGAAAGACAGTGCAGTGATAGTGGAGAGATTTCGATAATGGGTCTGCCCATGAGAGAACAGGGGAAGAAATGGAAATATTTAAGAATCTCAACATGAACAATAGTGGACCAAAGAGCTGCAAAATTCTAAGTGAAACCCATCAGGACAGCCATTACAACAGCTTTTCTGATCATGAAAATGAATTTCTAGGCCAGTCTGTTGTCTTAGCTAGGAAAGAACAAGACACAGACCCACAGCAGATGTCTGCATAAACGTCAGCCACCAGGCCTGAGGGATGTGTGGCTCGCTGTAAGGGCCAGGGAGTTTTAAAGCTGATACAAGGTGATGGTTTCTCATTGTTCCACATGCCATGTTAGCCATTTTCTGCTGTGACCACAGAATCCCCTCTAGAAAAGGAAAGATCCAGAACTCATAGAAGCTGCTCCCTTTACTCTCTCTGCTGATGGTCCTAGGTCAGGCCACCCTGACTTTCCTCCCTGCTTGGAGAATGAAAGATGTATTTCACTCTTTAATGACTCTCTGGACACATGAGCCATAGCTTGCAAAATTTAGGAAGTGAGAGGGCAGGAATTAAATTCTTAAACATACCTGATAATGGAGAAGATCATCTTTTTAGAGCCTTTCCTTCATATGTATTGACCTGGGGAGGCACAGGAATTTGACAGGCCCCATTGCAGGACGATGGGGCCCTTGGCTATGGTCTTTATATTACTGAAGCAAGATAATTTTAACATTTGCAGAGAGGTCCAGTCTTGCAATGGTTTAATAATTCAATCCAGCTATGATTGAGGGATTTAAGTAATATATGAAGCTTGTGCAAAACTTGTAGTTACTGGTCCTTGTACATAGGACAATGGTATGGTCAGTGGCCCAGTGCAACATTAAGCATGTGTCGGTAGGATAAAGAGGCTCAATTGTAACTGCTTGTGGGTTGGGTGTTCTTAGTTAAGACTGACGGATTTCCAAGACCACATGGTTCCCAGATGAATCACATGCTGTGATTCAATTTTTAAACTCCAAAACAGTTCTACTGTATCCGCTCGTCTTAACCTGTCAAGGTTGACAGTGAGAATGCTTTCATTTAATAAAAGATATGACAGTCCTTTGTACATCAAAAGACATAATTCTGATGTGCAAATGGCCTGTGAAACAAGTTACAAAATAAAGATCGTATTTTTAGCTTGACCTTCCTAAAACATGTGTTTCATCTCTATGAACTACTGGATTTGGTAAAATATTATTTTTAAAAGTAGCAATGAGTTGTCTTCTAAATATACTCAATAATGACAAAATAAAATCAGTTTCTCAGAGGGGCCTTACATTAATTTATTTCATACTTAACATGCGGTTATGGGATCATTAATGTTTCACTGTTAGACCCTGGCATCAGAGGATATAAAAGTAGAAAAAGCCTTCAAATAATCTACAAAGTAGAAACAGACTCCCAGTATTTGATAAAGGAAATCTCTGCAAAACAGGCAGATGCCTTTGAGGACCAAAATTTAAGATATGAAAAAAATACATATGTAATATATATATATACTGTATTATACAGTGTATATAATATGTAAAATATATATTCTATATATTCCAAGACATACATATATACACAATATATATACAATAATATATATAGTATACTATATATTATATAGCATACATATTTTTATATATATATATATATTAGCTTTTCCTAGCAATCCACTTTGCAAAGGCAATTGTTGAGTTAGCCCCAGGCTGTGCACTTCTCAGACACACAGGCTACAGTGCTTTATGCAATAACGATCTTTGAGGCTTTTCTACAAGTGATACACTGTCCAACAGCTGACCTACCAGATCATGCCTTGGTTGAAGATCAGAGCGAGGACATTGCCGCTGATGTCAAATTCAGTGTATGAGGGCTATGGAAGACACAGATATTCACTGGATTAGCAGATCAACTGGTGAAAACTGAAAGCCAAGTGTTCCATCTTTCTGCATAGGTATGGCTAGGCTCTCAACTCCTTCCTTGCAGCAACAATTGCAGAGTAATCGATATAATAAATAATTAGCGATAAATAAAACAATAAAGCACGCTTTCTAACACAGCAAGGCTCATTTTCTAAAGCAGTCATTCAATGTTGTGAAAATGTGGACCAGCAGGCTCTCTTTACATGGCTGGGAAAAGAGAAAATTGGAGCAATGTTTTAGAAAACTGTTTGACCGTATAGATTAAAAGCTTAAAAAAAAAAAAAAAAAAACTCATTCTCTTTAACCCTGTAAGTCTACCTCTAGGAATTTGTTTTAACAAATTGATCTTAAATGTTGACAAATTTTAACAGAGATGAAACCACCAAAATGTCCAATATTGGTTAAGTAAACATAGTATATCTATACCATAATATATATTGCACCTAATTACAATCACTGTTTGGAGAATATTTACATATACAGAGAAAACTATGACTTGATGTTAAACAACAAAAATATAAAATTAGACAATCACTATTTTTATCAATGGAATATGAAATGACGCATAAGGAAAAGACTTGAAAATGACCAACAAAATTACTAGGTGTTATAAGTAGGCGATGGAATATGACTTTTGTTTTCTTCCTTACATTTGCATATTTTAAAATATTTGTCAAAAAAATGAGAATTTCTTTTACAATGAAATAAATATAGAGAAATACAGGACAAGTTTGAGAAGTTATTCAACTCAATATCCAGTGTTTATCTCCTAGGTAATACCATCCTGCTTAGAACAGCAACACGAGCCTGTCTTTTTTGGGCAGAGGGGCACTGGTGGGCATCTGTCCCAGGGTGGCCTGTCCAAAGGCTTCCTTGTGACACATCAGGCAGCTTGGAAGGAAAGTTTCTATCAGTGGGAGTAATGCTACTTAGCAACCACAATGGAACTGGCTCCTGTTTAAATTGAGATAGAGAACAATCAGTCAGGAAACTAACTGGTAGGTCACAAGAGAAAAGGAGAAAAGCAAAATATGTGGACGAAGAGCATCAAGACCACGAAAGAGAGACCAAAAGAGGGGCAGGTCCCTAATCCTGTCCCAGATCCTGGCATCTGCAGGTGTTGCTTCACGCCATATGGGTCCTGGTAATTACTCCCTCCTCAACACACCTACACAAACACAAGGAGGATGATCTGAGAGTGTCACTGTTCTCAAACGCAAGACCCCTCCCCCCCAAGAAAAAATATGTGCAAGAAGATGGAACAGTTCTCTGGTTTGGAACCCCGATAAAACCTTCACAGCTTTTGGACTCTTTGCCTCAAGAGTTCTTGAAGTCAGGCCTCAATGTCATCATTTTCCCAAAAGGTAGCAGTACTTTGGGGAAGGATAAGGGTCATGTGCCTTGTAACAGATTCAGGGCATGAGCAGCAAGAACGGCTCGATAACAAGATAAAATGATGAGATGATACATAGTGAAAGAATACATAGCCCTGTTATATTAAGCGGGACAAAGATGACCTAGATGATACACGTTGTGTTTTGCTGGCTTTCCAATGATCTAGAAGCCTAACATTCACAGGATGAGAAGAGGTATGGTTGGCAGTTTTTGTTCTAAAATCACCAACGAAAGCAATGTGTGCCTCATGGAGAAAAATAAACTGCTTCTAATCTCTAGAAACATTAATTCGGAGTCTTTCTCCCGCCACAGGAGGGCTTTGCTCCGGACCACCTCTTCTCTTCCCCTGAAGCCTTGTGAGCTCACAGAACACATATGACGAATGCTCAGCTGGGTGGCCTGTACCAACTGTGGTCTTAGAACAGCTTTTCTCGGTGTCAGATCAAGAGTCAAACCTTCATCTTTGGGCTCTTTAGAACGGTGCCGTGATTTAACCCACCAATCTATGTAAAATTAAAAAAAAATTCAACCTTTTAGAAGTATATTTTCTTTCCTCTCACAAACATACAAGCTTCTTAAAAGCCATTTGAGATATTTTTATAACTAGGTGACTAGAAAAACACCAAAGACACACTGGGAACCCTTGTTCTCATAGTGTGTTTGCAGCAGGGGCAGCCGAAGGAAAATAATTTTTTAAAAAGATCTTATTTATTTATTTGAGAAAGAGCACACATGAGCACAAGTGGGGGAAGGCAGAGGGAGAGAGGGAGAGGGAGAAGCAGGCTCCCCACTGAGCAGGGAGCCCGATGCAGGACTCTATCCCAGGACCCCGGGATCATGACTTGAGCTGAAGGCAGACGCTCAACTGACTGAGCCACCCAGGCATCCCAGGAATATAATTTTTGATGCACAAATGGACCCAATGCAGAAAATGGGTATAGGGCATCCCTAGTGTACCAAATGGGTTTTTGGTCCAGACACTTGTCAGGGATTCACACCTGAGTATTGGACTTTGCCTTGCCACGTTCTGGTTGGGTGAGCTGGGCTAGTTGCTTATCTTGTCACAGATAAACTGAGGAAATGAACTAGGTCAGTGGTTGTCATGCTATGGCCCATGAGCCAAATCTGGACTGCCACCTGTTTGTATAAATAAAGATTTATTAGAATACAGCTGCATTCATTTGTGTATGTATTCTCTGTGGCTGTTCGGCACTAAAACAGGAAAGTTTAATGGTTGGCACAGAGACCATATGGCCTGCTTGAATGCAAACCCCTTGTTCTCTACACTCTGCTCACAGTACTTCTGACACAGATGTGTGGGTTTTACCCCCATATCAAACAATGCCCCAGTCCTCTGTGGACCTAAGCTGGATGCCCTACCATTTCACTCTGATACTGACTGTCCAGAGTTAGAGCGACCCCGCAGGTTAAGAACTCAGTCGCACAAGACTGCCCCACTTCAGACAACAATCACAAGTTTGGGGTGCCACCTATGCTGAGTGGCTGGCTATACATCAGAGAATCCTACGACTCCCTCTTCAGGTTTGATAATTTGCTAGAATAGCTCACAGAACTCTAGAAAACACTTGATTTACTAGGCTACTGGTTTATTTAAGAAATGCAAGATACGAATAGACAGATGGAAGAGATGCATAGGGCAAGGTATGAGGAAAAGGGTCCTTTTCCATGTCCTTTCCCAGCACACCACCCTCCAGCACCTCAACATGTTCAGCGACCTGGTTCAGTGAACCCCATAGGTCAGGGAGTCTTATGGAGACTTCATCAGTAAGCATAATCAATAACTAACTCAGTCTCCAGCCCCTCTCCCCTCCCTGGAAGATGGGGGAATGGGGCTGAAAGTTTCAAGTTTCTAATCATGTCTTGCTCTTTCTGGTGACCATTCCGCCATCCTGAAGCTATTCAGAAGCCACCAAGCATTGCCTCATTAGAATAAGCAATGTTCCTATCACCCAGGAAAACCCAAGGAATGTAGGCCTTCTGTATCAGGAACCAGGGTCAAAGAGCAAATATTAGAACAAAAGATGATCCTAGCACCTGTATTGCTTAGCCAGTTATAAAAAGATTTAGGAACTCCGGCCAGGAGCTGGAAATGGAGACCAAAATATATATTTCTTATTATATCATAATATCACACCTGCAGAAGTGAAACTGCTTACTATCTAGCCTTTTACAGAGAAAGTCTGCCAACTTCTGAACTAGATCATTTCTAAGATCCTTTTCTAATCTAAAATCTGTAATTGGTTGAAAAATTAGACCCAGTTATTAAAGAATTGCTTCTCTGTAAACACTTTAGAAATGCAATTGAATACGGTATGAGTTGAACTCAGAAAATCTCCCTCTAAAAATAAAACAGAAGTAGGAAAGCAAACACACACACACACACACACACACACACACACACACTATAAAATTCAATGCTCATTCTTTTGGAGATGGATTTAGTAAAAACATATGAGATTATATTGTATTTTAAAGTTTTAAAAGCAATACTTTAATAATACAAGTATAAATCATTTTGCAATACGTTTGCTTAATTGCCTCTAAAACATAAAAAAAGCTTAAAGGTAAATGAGGCTTGGGAAAAAATACGTTTTCTTGAAAACTGAGAAATGAAATGATTCAAATGGGATGCATATAACACTAAGAGTCACTCATCCCTAATAAGCTTTTTAGGCACCAGCAAAAGAAGATCCCATTTGGATATAGGCTGAGGTCTATAATAACTTACTAATAGGCAAGGGATTGAAAATTATCTCGTTTTATTTCTAGGCCTTTGTTTGTGGTGGGTGAGAGTCAGTCATCTACCCATAGGGAAGACAGAAGGTTGTTGTTGGACTGAAATGCCCAGGAAAACCCATCGGCTCTCTGCAAGTTTTGTTATTTGGGAAAGATCATTAACCTTTGGATATCGTGAAATATCTCAGAGAGAATTCTGTCATTGCAACATCCTGTCTGACATACAAATCTCACTCCCCACACCTGAAATCACCCTGGGTGAATGGTTCTCAAGCATGGTCCCCATACCAGAAGCCGCATCATCACCTGGGAACTTAGAACGGGACCTGCCCCAGCTCCGATGGAATCAGAAACACTGTTTTCACATGCCTTCAGGGGATTCTGGTCTATCCTCAAATTTGAGAAGCACTGATCTAGGACAAATCCTAGCTTCATCCACTAGGATGACTCAGCGACTCGGGTCTTTGCACTTCACCCCTTGTTGCCTGCAGACAGACTCCAACCAATATTCAAGTGGAACTTCAAGTCCAGACTGTGCTGTCCCTTTCCCCAAGTTGTCAATCCTTCAGGGACTACTCAAGACTTCTTACTGACCCTTTAGCATGGCATCTTCCCGCACTGCTAAGTAATATCTCATTCCCAGCTGGAGAACATCTGTTTATTTCTAATTCTGTATCACAGCCCCTCCTGTAACTCCATTCTATTGCAAGTGACCTATCTAATCTTGGGGTGCTTTGAGTTACAAACACCATAGATTGGTTCATGAATTAGTCATGATTTGACAGAGTCCTTGAAATTT